CTACTTTGGGCCCCATGTGATGGAGAATGAGGCAGTGGAGTTCTTTGGAGGGTAGTCAAGGTGGGAAGGATAGAAAGAGAAAGAGTAAAGGGGAGGAGTATGGAGACTTGAAGGCCTCCTATTTTCTTCACAGGGGGTCATTGGCGAAGAGCTCCATGTTCCCGGAGGCTGCCCTTTATCTGCTCTTATTGAACCAGGCCAATCCATAGACTTTCCGGTAGCTGTCACAGAGAATGACTCTGCAGACTCTGCTGTCAGCTCCCTTTCTTCTCCTTTCTGGGATTCCAGTTCTCCTTCATTTGTAATAAATCAGAGTTCTTGAAATGAGAATTGGACTCCTTTCTTTGCTCTCTTTGCACCCCACTCACATCAAGCCTGTAGGGGACCACTACACTTACACACACATACTGAGAAGGGGTGTTTATGGGGGACCAGTTTTTAAGGAGGAAAGGGAAATGCAAGTGGGACAGCCAATGGCAAACGGAGACTGAGAACTAGAATAGACAACTCTGCTGGTTGCATGATTTCATATGTCTTGTTTCTACTAAAGATCTAAAGATCAGAGATGGAAAGGACCTTAGAACTTGGAACATGGCCTGTGGATCTCAGGGTGCTGAAATAGCCCCAAGCATTTTTGATATTTGAGTATGAAGAAACCTTCAGGTCATCTAACCCAAGGGTCCTTAACCTATTTTGGGTCATGGAACACCTTGGCAGTCTGGTGAAACTTATGGGATCTTTACTTAAAATATAATTTTAAAATAATTGAAAGAAATTATAAACTTCAGTTAGAGGATATAGAAAGGATACATTCCCCCCCCCCCCCGCCCCCATCCCAGTTCCTAGAGTCCCTGAGGTCATGCAAGCTATCTAGATTAAGAACCTCTGACCTAGTTCAATTCCCTTACTTATAAATAGATAAGGAAACTGGGGCCCAAAGAGGGAAAGGAACATAGGATCATAAACTCATAGATTTAAATCAAAAGGGACCCTAAAATCTTTTAGTTCATGCCCTTCATTTTATACATGATGACACTGAGACCCAGAGACTCATTTGATGAATGTAGTAAGGAGCATATATAGACCCGGAGCCTTGTTCTTCTCATTCCAAACCCGAGTATTTTGGCATTCCATTCCTGTAAATCTTTCTGATACAGTCTGTCTGGACATCCTTTATTTACCCTTCCTCATACCTTCCCAATCCAATATAGCAAGGATGGGGTAAGATCTAGAAACTTCAGGAGTCATTAATAGCAATTGGCTCTTAAGGATGAGAGTAGCTTGGTGGAAAGAGGAGTATGAATCTGGAAGTCAGACATCTGGATTAGAGTAGTGGGTCTTCCATTCAACAGCTGTGTGATATTGGGTCAGTCCCTTTACTTCCCTGAGGCTGTTCCCTCATTTGTTAAATGTGGGTAATCATACTTGTCCTGCCTAGCACACAGGCTCATCATGACCAAATAAGAAAATGTACAGGAGGGGCAGTTAGGTGGTGCAGTGGACAGAGCTCTGGCGTTGGAGTCAGGAGGACCTGAGTTCAAATCCAGCCTCAGACACTTGACACATTACTAGCTATGTGACCCAGGGCAAGTCACTTAACCCTGATTGTCTCACCAAAAAGCAAAAAAAAAAAATGTAGGGGAAAAGAATTTAGAAATTTTAAAAAATAGGTAAAGCACATTCAGATAATAAAATGCTACCTAATGGGCATTATTTTTAATGAGGGCCCCAAGCCATCTTATCCAAAGGTTACTTTAGCTTTGACTGGCTGTGGCAGTGCTCTGGGTGTGCTGGGGCAGAAGGAATATAGAGCAGATACACAGCTCTTGAGGCACTTCTTTACAAACCCTAACAGGACATTTGCCCAACTAGGGAATGAGGGAGTTTTGGGTGTGTTTCTTCATCAATCAAATGAAGAGCATCATGCTCTCTCTGCCTCGCACATATTGAACCCAGAGACCCTCACACTTCAAATCTGGAAGTCTAGAATACCTGTACTGTCTCCTTCTCTCTGGACCATTCTGCCTCCCGCTATAATCCAGTTGTCTTGGGGCTTAATGAGGATTTTTAAAAGTCTGATTCTCCCCTACACACATGCACACACTTCTCTTTTCCTCCCTCTCCTTCTCCTCCTTCTCTTCTCCCCCTCCTTCTTCTCCTCCTTCTCTTCCTCTTTCTCCTTCTCCTCCTCCTTTTCCTCCTCTTCCTCCTCCTTCTCCTCCTCTTCCTCCTCCTTCTTCTCCTTCTCCTCCTCCTTCTCCCCCTCCTCCTCCTCCTCTCATGGCTTGGGTAATGGTCTTTTGCTCAGCTGATTCTAAGAGAGGAAAAGCATTCTGGAGGCAAAGTGGACTTGGGAAGCCACTGGGACCACTCTCTAGAGGTTTCTTATATCTTTATCTCAATGCAGAAGGTGTTGCTGATGTAATTTTAACAACTTATATTTCTAAAACATTGTAAGTTTAGAAAGCACTTCTCTCATGGCTGCATTGTGAAGGAGGTACTGCAAGTATTGTTAATCCAATCTGAGAGTAGAGACAACTGGGATTTAGAGGGGAAAGTGATTACCTGAGGTTATGGAGATCTTTTTATTCACAATCCAGTGCTCTGTCCACCAAGATGCCCTCTTGCAAGGTCAGGTTGTAAACCAAGAAATTTCCTTGAAATTGAGAATAGTGACTTGTCTATTATCTCTGTAGGTATGAGAGAAATGTCCTTGAGTTCTTGTCTATCAATAATACACAGACCAATCAATAAGCAAATATTTAGTTCTGGGCCAGATGCTTGGGTATATGTAAAGAGAAGCGAACAGATCTGAGCCTGTGGTCAGTGATGGTGGTGATATGACCATAGAAGTTTTCCAAGGTTGCTTTGAATTAGAGGACCCCCTAGGCCATCTAATCCTTTGTTCTTCAGTCTATCTCACTGCTATCTACTTTTTTTGTGAAAGAGGATGAGTGAGGAGGGAATTGAAGTGATTGTGCACTCTGCCAGGCTCTGCGTTGAAGATTAGACTTATTTGGATGGTGGATTTGGGATATGCAAGGAGGATAGTGGATTCAGGAGGAAGGAAAACATCCCTGAAATTGAGCACAAGGACCTGGCAAGCTCCATATGGGAAAATGGATGTCTCCCCAAGGACTGTGAGAATGTTTTAGCTTTATTCTCTTCACTTTTTTTCCTTTCTTTCTATTCTTCTTCTCTCTCAAGCATCTTTTTCTTTCACATCTCCTTCCCTCCCTCTAATTCTTTAGTCCATTGTCTCTCCAATCAGCTTTTCTCATATTTGGTCCTTTTAAGCTCCCCCTTTTCCCTCTATTTTTCTTCTGTCTTGTAATTCCCACTCTTTCATCTCTAAATCTATGAGGCTATGAGGAATTTTTGCTCTCCTTTGTACCCAAGCCAGTCTCACTGTCAAAGTGGGTGCAGATGATCAGGTTGCACATACAATTGGAGAAGTATCTGAACATGAAACAAAGGGCAGCCAAAGCCTGATATCACAGGGCAATTGTCTGCCACTATTTCCCCGGAACATGATAAGAGATTTTGCCCCTCACCACTGAGGGCTTATCTTACAGCTCAGGGGCTATTGACCAATCTCAGTGACTAAATAGCTTAATCTCCCAATACCTAGGATTGAGTGTCACCCTCCCCACATATATACCCCATACTAGGAAGAAAGGCTTTAAGATTCAGGCTAGGGGGGTCTTTTCTTAGGGGACATGGGACAGCACTGTCCCTATATCCTATTTGAAACCCAGCAGCAATTAAAAATCAGTGCTGCTACCTTAAGCCACTCCAAGATTCTGAGGCTTTTTGTTTGTGAGACTAAGGTCTGGGGTTCCAATTCTATAAAGATTTTCACATTTAGCATAAAACATCTGTCTCATAGCCATTGCCACCCTTAGCCCAGCTAGCTCTGTACTTCTGCTCCCTAGAGAGCCTTTGAGAGAGTGCAGGTGATTGACAGTCACTCATCTCAATCAGTGAAGAAGAAACTTAAAAGGCATACTCTTAGACCTAGGTCAATTGACTCATTTTCTTACCTTAACATGACTCTGATAGAGATCTTCCTTCTTACTCTAAAACCTTCACTTGATCTCTAGGACCTAAACTTTTCCTTAGAGGACAGTAATACTGTCATAGTCTTGATTTCACAGGTAGCACCCTTCCCCCAGTCACCTGAATTATAACTTTCTTAAACCTGAAGTATTTCCATCTTTCCCTGGGATAGAGCTCAAAAGAAAATGCTATTTTCCAAGTATGAGGGGTCTCATGTCAAGGCATCCCCACAACAGATTCATGACTGGCCCCCATAACTGTTTACTTGAGCAACCTAGGAGGGATGGTCTCCCCTCAGATGTTAATGAGGAACCTTGCTGGTTATTAGTTTATGCTTCCTCAGACTTATTGCAATTATATCTTCCCCACCCTGGCCACTTCCTCTAAAACATTGATATAAGGGTTTAAGGCTAACATTCAGTTATCTGAAGGTCTGGGAAATTGGGTCTCACATCTCCAGGGAGGTAAGTATTGCCCCTTTCAGCATCAGGAAGATCCAAGACCCATGGCTGCCTGAAACATGAGACTCTGGATAGATGCCCAATTTATCTTTAGATCTGTAATTACCATGACACAACCACCTTTACTCCAAAGGGTGGAACTATTGTGTCCTTATTTCCTGGCTTATTCTACCAGGAAGACAATTTGGAGTGGGGCAGTGCTCTTCATTGAATTCAGGAAGGAGCTCCAGGTCTTGGGGGAATCAAAGTTAGGGATGCATGCTTCTGAAAAAGGGATGTTTATGTACATACTAAATTAACATTGTGCTCCCTCCCCACTGAAGTCCCGCACATCTTTTCTTCCCTTTTCTCCTTCCCATGACCATGTTTCCTAGGCCAGTATTTTCATTAACAGAGATAATTCCTTTTTCCATTTAAGGTTCTTGGGAGAAGTCCCAGATTGAGGAGAAAGTGTGTCTAAACCCCAGCAACCGAGCAGTGATGAAACTCGCCCTCATTCTGTCACTTGTCCTGTTGGGGACAGTTTCATCTCTTCACTTGAGTAAGTTTTTCAACTCCTTCCCGCTCTTTTCTCCACCCATCCTACTTTCCTATTGATTCATCTTGTTGGTTGAACTAATTAAATTTGGTTATAGGGTAACATCATAGAATGCAAGTAAGATTTTATAGATTTCATGTCAGGCCTGAGATCTACCTCTAGGCCTGTCATTTAGTTGAGCCAATGAAATCACTGGCCAAGATGTCCTTGTTTTGTTTTTTTTCCCCTAATTCCTCATCTAGGGAGTCAATGTAGTGCAGTGGAATGGGTGCTGGATTTGGAGTTCAAATCCTGGAGTTTTTATTTTTCACTTGTGTGACCTTGGGCAAGTCACTTAACTTCCTTCATTTTCCTTAACTATAAAATGAAGGAGTTGGATTAGATGACTTTAAAGGTCCCTTCCAATTCTAAATCTAGGATCAATTCAACTCTAGGATCGTAAGTTACTTTCCTTTGCTGAACCTTGGTTTTCTGCTCCACAAAATGGGCATACCCACACTAGCACTACCAGTGTCTTTTGTGGTCCATTTTGAGGAAGCCTCCATGAAGCACTAGAGAAATATGGGCTTTATTCATCTCTAGTGTGTTCCCTCAACTTTCTATTGGAGATTGTGGACTCTTCTTAAAGGGTTAGGCTCCCTACAGGGTCTGAAGCTTTTCTTATGCCTTTTAGCAGCTTTTCCATCTCTCCACGCATCCTATGCCCTGCAGTATCAGTCAGAAGTAATGCTCCCATATCCTTGTGCAGAAATTTGTTACAACCTGTGCCTCCAACCAAAAAGAGATCTCCTCCGAGATAACGCTTTAAGATCACTAACCTCTCTGAAGACCTGAAGATCTAGGAGCTGTCCGTGGTACCTGCAGGGAGACAAAAGAACGATCGTGAGTAATAGTGATTATGCTCCTTGTGTTTGTCTCAGGAAATGAGATTATTAAGCTAGAGAAGCTAGAGGAAGTAGACACTCAGACTGAAGAGTCAAACATGCCAGAGAGAGGAGAGGCTCTTACCTCTGCTGACAGCTCCTCTGAGAAGAAGGAAGAAGCCACAGAGTTAGTCTCAGCTGCCGAAGATAAGAACATTCTGGAACCCAAGAAAGAGGATGCAGTTTATGTGCTGGGGAACCCAGGGTTTCAGACTGTCAGATATGTATTAGTCACACAGCTGAAGACATTTTCAGAGGCTCAGGTGAGTGGAAGCTGGGCTGTGGTGGAGGCCCTGGGAACAGAGAAATAGAGTTCAGAAGAATGAGAATTGGCTAGAAGATACAGACCTTTTCCTCTGAATATCATGGATGCTGGTGTAGGGTTAGAGGTAAAATGGGTCTTATCTGTCCTGAGAATTCTTGCGGGCAATTCTTAGAAGTTGGACTGAAATCTGAGCCTCTGAGATTCAATTTGAATGATCTTCCCCTTCTACTGTCATCTCCTTGTACCTATTTCTGCCCTTTTTTCCTCTACCATTTCTCAGAGATTTTGTCAGCAGAGCTACAGGGGCAACCTAATTTCCATCCACAATTCTGAGTTCAACTGCAAACTTGAGAACTTAATTAAAGAAATCAACCAAGGCCGGGTCTGGATTGGAGCTCACACCAATAGCTGGGTAAGAAAGCAGGTCAAATATGTGCATGACTATTTCTTCCCTGACCCTTCTTAAACGGGCCCTGATGAATCCCCCAATTTATCCCAAACCCTTGAACTTCTAACTGTGGAGAATCCCTGGTGATATCCACCCTCACACTGTCACAATTTTCTTGAGAAGCAGGGTTTGATAAAGGAACCCTATAAATCTGAGAATACATAGACTACCCAGCTCCCAGAGAAATGGTCCTTATGAACTTGACATCCACTTAACGTCCTCAGTACACAGAGACCCAAGCTCATAAAGCAGTAGGTGAGAATCACAGGGTATTAGCAGCCTTTTCTTAGGAAAGTATACCAGGAGAGTATAACATACTTTATACTGTGAGTCAGAAGACCTGGTTTCAAGTCCCGGTCCTTCATAGTTTTGTGTCACTTTATGCCTTAATTTGCTTCTGTACGAGCTGAGATGGTTGGACAAGATGAGCTTTAATGCTGTTCTCAGATCTAAGATTTCATGTTTTGTTTTCCTTGGCTTGGATGTTTTGGAGCTCATCAGTAGGTCATCCATTTTGACCTACCTCTTTCCATCTTGTCGATAGTGCTTGTTCAAGAAATTTAAATGGATTGATAGGAGCAGCTGGGATTTTTCATACTGGGCAACAGGCCAGCCACTATTTGGTTGGGGCTGCTGTGTAGCTATGTGTACTAATGGTAAGTCGGGGAACATGGAAGGTGGGAGTGACAGCAAGGAAGTCTTATCATGATGTCTTTAGCTCTACCTGAACTTCCTGAGAGCAGATAGCCTTGACTCCAAAGTTGGGGGAGGGGAGAGAGTCCCCATGCCAATGACATTACAATGAATTCTCCATATGGAAGCCTGGATAATCTCATCTCCCTTTGCCAATTGTGGAGGAGGATGCTATGAGCTATGAGCTATGAGCTCTTCTGGTCCTCCCAATTTTGGAGTGATCGATTTGGGGCAGTGGGGTCCATAGTGGCTAAGATGGAGAGGCCAATATAATCAGCAGAAAAATAACTGGATTGGTCAAAGTATCTGTGTTTGGATCTGGGCTCTTCCATTTATCAACACTGTAATCTTGGGCCTCAATTTTCCCATTTGTAAAATGATAAGAGTTAGGCTGGGTGGTTTCTAAGGTCCATTTCAGCCTAACATTCTATGTTCAGAGAGTCCTTCCAGCTCTGACATATGAACATCTTGTGACTCTTTTAGGGGTAGGGCTGGAAGACCATCTTCATTCTGTTCTCTCCATACAGGTAGTGGCTGGCGCAGGACTTCATGTCATTGGTCATTGCCCTTTATCTGTTCCTATTGAGTCACCTCCCCCCCACCCCCCACCGCTGCAATAAACTCAGGTTTCCTGCAGTTTCTTCTGACTCTTGTCTTGTCATTATTCAAAATTTGTGACTCTCCACCCCCACCCCTGTTTAGAATAGACCTGAAATGGATCACTTAGGGCCATCATATTTAGAGCTGAAAGGGCTATTAGAGATCACCTAGTTCAACTTCCTCAGTTTGTTTTTTTCCAGAGGGAGAAACTGAAGCCTAGAGAAGGGAAGTGACTTGTTCAAGGTCACATAGGTAATTTGAATTCAAATCCAGGTTCTCTTACTCTAGATCCAGTACTCTTTCCATCAGTACTCTTTCCCTCCTCCTCTGGAGCAGGGAAATAAAAGGTACACCTGAGTAATTACACCTGAGTAATTGAGCTATTGTCCTTTTTGGAGAAGAAAGGCTGGCAAAGCCCTTTAACCTTCCTTAGGGTTAAGATCAGGTTCTGGTGGTAAACTGGTTTTTCTGGGAAAAATTATAGAGTCCGTGGCTATTTATTTTCAATGTAGAGTCTCAGATATTTTTCAAAATGATAACTGACAGCTCTGTCTGAGTGTATAAGGTATGCCCCTCACAACCATGTGAGGGAGATAGTGCCAGGATTATAGGATCCATTTACCTGATATGGAAACAGATGATGTGACTGGCCCAGGGCCGAACAGCCAGGAATAATAACCAACATTCACATAGCCCCTTAAAATGTACAAAGCAGGATAGAGCACTGGCCCTGAAATCAGGAGGACCTGAGTTCAAAAATTCGGCCTCAGACCAAACACTTGACACTTACTAGCTCTGTGACCCTGGTCAAGTCACTTAACCCCAATTGCCTAAAAAAATTTTTTTACAAAGCAATTTACATGTGTTATCTCACTTGAGCTTTATAGCTTCCCTATGAGGTAGAGATAGTTATTACTATTCCCATTTCACAGATAAGGAAACTGAGGGGGAAGCAATTTGCTCAGCTAGTTGGTGTCCTAGGTAGGATTTGAACTCATGTCTTCCTGACTAGTCTCTGAACTGTGCTGCCTTTCAAAGCCAAGATGATAGGTGACAGAGCCTTAACATAGTGGCTATAACACTGAGCTATCAGCTATTTATCAGCTTGGGGAGTTGAGAGGGGAGGTGTGAGAGGAGAAAATTATCAGGATATTATCAGGAGAAACATCTCCCACTTTCCAGGTCTCTTTCGTTGATGTAAAAAAAAATGACATTACTGTGAGTTATAGCCTCTTGATCTATCCCTTACCTGGTTTCTATGTTCTAAGATCCCTTCCAGCTCAGGTCTGCTCCAACCCAAATTTTATATGAGAGATTAGAGAAGACACTCCCACCTGTAGAGCATCACCACCTGGAGCTGGCTAGAGAGAATTATTGATTTCAGTTCATTTCCAGAGGTCCCCTTTTGTCTTTTCCTTGAGGGGCTGCTGAAACTTTCACTACAATGTCTGAAGAGGTTCCTGATGCAATGGACATACCAATTTCTCTTAACAGAAGCAAAGGCCTGGGCCACTGGGGCTGTGGGAATAGGAGAGGAAGCAAAAAGCTCATTTCAGCTATGGTCAGAGTGAATATCAGGGAGTGGCTTAGGGTTCTGTGGCTGGAGACAGAGAGAGAGAGAGAGAGAGAGAGAGAGAGAGAGAGAGGGAGAGAGAGAGAGAGAGAGGCAGACAGCTACAGACACACAGAGAGAGATAGAGACAGAGACACAGAGATACAGACCAAGACACAGTAGAGAATCACAGCATTGTTACATTAGAAGAGATCATCTAGTTTCATTCCAACCTGAACAGGAATCTCACGAAGAACACATCTGACGAGAGCTGTTCAAACTACTTTAGAAGGGAGTGGGCTCCCTCCCCCCTCACTGGAGGTCTTCAAAGACTGGATAATCCCTTGTCAAAGGGGAGATATCTTTGTTCATTGCAGGTTGGATGTGATCACTTCTGAAGTCCCTACTAACTCTGAGATTCCGTGACTGGCCACTTGGCAGTCTGTGCTCAGGTCTTCCTGAATACAAATCTTTCCTGGGCAGGAAAGAGAGGAGGTAGACTACAGCCACTTTCTGCATCCCACCCCTGCTTCAGTTTGAGAATCAGGACAGGAAGACTATTTCCCTTGGGGCACTGGAATGAAGATGGCCCCAATGCCCATAGATTCCCAACCAGAGCCCTTATGAGGACTGTCTCCAAGACTCTGAGACTCATTAGCTCAGTTGGAGAGTGGGTTGTGATCACATTCTAAGGGTTTGAGCTTTGTTTGGCCTAATGAGATTTACATAGGCTTGATATGTTTACACAAGAGGCTTCTGGTCAAGTATAGGCTGAATCAGATGGCCTCTTCCCTCTCTCTTACTGCCCCGAAAAAGAAATGATCTTAATGATATTAGGCAGCGATCCCTGCTCCCCAGTATCTTCCCCATCAACTGTTGTAATGCCTAGAAATTTGCCATTTGAAAATCACTGCTTTACCTACTGAACGTTTTCAAAAGAGTCAAGAATCTCCTATCAACCCTTAGGGAGGGTCACTTTAAATTATCATCAGCTGCTGACACATTTGAGAATGAATAGGTCTGGAATCTTTTGGGAGCAAGAACCTGTGGAACTGAAACATGGAATTAGGGCTTGGACTAGGAAGGTGGTCAGAAGCAAGGGTCGGATAATTCAATGCAATAAACATTTATTAAGCACCTACGACATGCAACTCACTGTGCTAGATACTGGCTATATGAAGACAAACATGATACAGTCCTTGCCCTCATGGAGCTTACATTCTATCGAGGGATACAACATGCACATAGATAAGTAAATACAAGGTAATATGAGGGGAGAGAGGGTACCAGCATTGTGGGGGAAGGGGATCAAGGGAGGCTTCATGGTGGAGGTGTCACCCAAGATAAGCATCGAAGAGCAAAAATATTGAGAGGCAGAGATGAGGAGTGAGTGTATTCCACTGAGACAAGGTAGCCTGTATGAAGGACCAGAGGTGGGAGGCAAGATGCCAAGTTGAGGCAATAGCTAATATTCTGGTTTGGCTGGAATGCAGTGTGTGTAAAAAGGAATAATATGAAATATAGCTGGGAAGGGAAGTAAAAGTTCTTAAATACCAGACTTAGGAGTTTACATTTTATCCTGGAGACAATAAGGAGGAACTGAAGTAAGGGAATGACCTGAGAGAGAAGGTGGGAATATATCAACAACCTTCATTATTGTTCTAGGGGTCCACCTTGGGCACGAGTTTTTCTTCTTTGCTTATTATCAGTTCTTTTTCACAATGAGTTCATAATAATCTTCATGCCATGTAGGAAATCGCTTAGTGTGGATACACAGAAGACAACATCACAATCACACCAAAGAGATATTCTACACACGAGTATATGCAATGGGTAAGGGGATCAAGGGTGTTCTTAGGCAGTGGGATGAGAAAGACTTCAGCCTCTGAGATGGAAAGAGTGGTATGACGGAAGAAGCCTTGGGGGATAACAAACTCTCAATGAGACTGTACGCAGCCCTAGCAGGGAGCACTGCCTATTGCTTGGCACACTGGGAGGTCTAGGAACTGGGTCTGGCTTATTGCCACTCCTAAAGTAAGCCTCTTCCTCCCCAGTGGAAGGTCGACTGTTATGAGGTATCGATTCCTAGGGCATAAGGTTAATGATAAACTGGCATGAGGAGGCCTAGTGACCAATGGAGAAGGCTCCAGAGTCTGTGGATTGCTTTTCCTCTCTGCCCTCCAGGGTCTGGTCACTGGGATACATGGGGTTGGTAGAAGTGGCAGATCGCAGGGTTGTTTCATTCACCTGGAAGAGATGGGAGGAGAAGACAGAAGCCTAAAACATCCTGGCATAGTATCTATCCGAGCCCAGGGATCTTACAGGAAGAGTGGCTGATGACGGCAGTAGGGTTCATAGAACCCTCAAAATTCCCTGCAGTCCCTATTCTCCGTCATGACCCACCCATAATCATGTCTCTCCTTTCCTCCCACTGGACTTCCTTCTCCTAACAGGGTCCTAAAACTAGATCTTTCCTCTTACACAGGCATTCCTGGGAGAATAAGGGAAAAGGTTCTGAAGATGTTGTCAAGGATGTAACTCATTGACTTTATGACATAAAAATCACAATCACCCAACTTTTAGATGTTTTCTGGGCTGAAAACTCTGGGCAGATTACAGAACAACCCAACTCATATGACTTTTCCAGGTACCTACCCAACATGGGGAAACACACACACACACACACACACACACAAAAGCAGTTTTACTGCTCTGCCATGATGAACTCTCACCTGGCTCTTTTACTTTCCCTTCTGCCAATACATTCAACTTGGCAGCCACAGTATTAGGACCAGGTTTGAAAACGCTAACCAGAAGCCTTGGCTCTCTGTGATTTTAATTTCTGCCTAGAGACAATGGGAGAGAAGCTCCTACCCTTACTGGGGCTATTGGCAGCAGTTACTATCTCCCTGTTCCCTAGTTCTCTTGACCGGACCTTGTTGTGATAGCATCTCTCAGAGGCTCTGACAGGAACAGCCAGAAGTTCTTCCTAGCTGCTGCTCCTTTCCTCTGGCCCTCCTCTCATCCCTTGCTTTCCTCTGGCTTCTCTTGGGGTCCTCACCTCTTCAAACTTCTTGGCTTTGTATTGGTCTGCACCCTTTAGGAAGTTGAGCAGGATGATGTCGCAGAGGACTGTGCCCTGGAGGGAAGAGACACTGTTGGTGGGAGAAGCTCCCAGTAACTAGACCTGGTCTAGGCAGGAGCAAGGGCGAGTGGCAAGGAAAGGAGGGAATGGGGAGAGAGCCACAGAGAGCACAGAACTCTACTTGACCGGTGTAAAATTAATAGCAACTCCTATTTCCACAGAGTGATCAGTTTACAAAACTCTTTCTTCCCAACAACTTGAAGAGGCAGAGAATTCAAATATTAGCACCCCCATTTTATAGATGAGAAAACTGAGACTCAGAGACATAAAGTAATAAAGGTCACAGAGC